ATTTCTTCAGCAAACACCTCAGCTGTGCTGATAAAGAGCTCAGAGCTGCTTTTCCTGGCTAAGTGGAAGTGGTGGCAGCTTCTAGAACCATTCAATGGTCACAAGAGCAGAGCTGCCCTCACTCCTAACCCATTCTTTCTCCAGAAGAAAACGGGCTGCCCACCCACCAGCACAGTCGGGGAACCTTCTAGAAACATTACCTACAATTATTTTAGGGGGATTCCTTAACCAGGAATGGAATCTCCTGTTTTTCCTATCAAAAGAAACTTCTTTGGATGAATCCAGCTAAACAAAACCTGTGTGACAGCTGGACTCCAAGCGTGGCTCAGCTGTGAGACAGAAATCAAAGCTGATTTCACCCAATGTTCACAGAATCACGGGATGGTTTGGGATGAAGGGACATTAAAGCCCATCCAGTTCCAACCCTGACACCTTCCACTAGCCCAGCTTGCTCCCAGCCCATCGAGCCTGGCCTTGGGCACTGCCAGCTTCTCTGGGGAACCTGAGTCAGGGTGTCCCATCCTCACAGGGAACAACTCCTTCCCAATGTTTAATCTAAACCCACTCTCTTCTGTCAACTTTTAATTGGTATCAGTCATTTAATTTATTTAAAGGGGTTTTTTTTAGGGTTATTTGATTGCATTTCTGTAGCCACAAGCAGCAGCTGAGTCACAGCACAGAGCTCAAGGCTCAGTTTTGCCAAGGTCAGTGCCAGGACAGAGGAAGGAGCTCAGCTGACAGGTCCAGCTCAATGGGCAGGGGCCAGTGAAGGAGGTGAGGAAGGATCCTGAAATCCTGGAATGCTGCTGGAGATGGCCTGTGGCATCTGCCTGGATGGGATCAATCATGAGATTCCCTTCAGCAGCACACAGAGCTCATTGTGCTTTCATTGCAGCACAGCTCAGCAGAGTCTTTCAGAGCTTGGAAGCATCACAGAACATCTGACAGCTGATCAGACTCCACTCCTAATGAACTGGGGCATTCCCAAAGAGCAATTCTTGTATTTTTTGGACAGGAAATCTGATTTTTTTTTTTTTTTTTTTAACTTGAAAAACTTAATTACACAACAAGATACAGGCATGGGTTTCTCTGTTCCTTTATTGTAGTTGTACACTAATGTAACAGTGTAAAATGCAGCAGCTGAAGGGTTCTAAACATCAGGGGAAAACTTTGGGGAAGGACCTGTATCCCAGGAAAACATAAGGCATTCCCTGTTCCAGGTGTTGTCTGCAGACAGTGATTTCAGTCAGGTAACACACATTAAATACACAATGGCACAAAGGCCACAAAAACGAGATGCACAAAGGAAAAAAAAAAAGCCACGACGTGCCAGGAAACAGAAATTAAAACATCCCAAATTAAGGCATGAGGGGACCCTTCATCCAAAGCAGAATTCCAGTCCTCTAAAACCCTGTGGAGATCAAAGCAAACCCCAACTGTGGAGCTGCCAAAACCAGGGGAGACCCTCCTGTCATTCCTGCCAGAAAAAGCAGCACAGAAGAGGTCAGGAAGAGCTGAAGAGTGAAAGTTCTGGAATGCAGGAACAGGGATCAAACATTCCAACAGCAAAGGAAGCTGTGAAGTCACCCAGGACAAGGTGAGAGCAGCATTTGAGAGAAATCCTGGAAGGCAGCTGGAATGAGAGCAGCACAGCCACAGCTCTGCTCCAAACCTTCTCCTCCCTTTGCAGGGAGTTGTCCCAGAATTATTCCTGGGACAGTCTTGAATTCCTGGCATTTGCTGCCTCAGAAATGCCTCCCAGGGCAGTATTTAGTAATAAAGTGACTCTTAAGCAAGGAAAAATACAAAATATGTGCTTTGGCCCTTTTGTATTGTGCCACTCAAAAGAGCCCAAAGATTCCTTTTTAACTTAATTGTGCAAAACCATCACAAAAAATCAGCTCTAACCCAACAATCAAATCATTTTTCCACACAGAGCTGAGAGAATAAGGCACAGGAATTCTATTCCATCTCTTGTTTTAAACACAATTATTTTCCTGAAGTTTACATTCACGAGGTCAATAAGGTCATTGTAACAGAAAAGTTAAAACTGGAAAAAAAACAACTAAAAAATCCTCCAGTGTGTTCATTTCCAGATTAATCCCAACAATCTGCCCTGCAGCTGAGCTCCTGCCTGCCTTAAGGAGATGCTACAACACCACACAGAAATGCAGCATTCAAGAAACAGCAAAATAAATTTAACAAAACCCTTAAGTAAAACTTCTTTTTTTGTAGCACAGTAGAGTTATTTTTTCTCTACATTAACCCTGTTTCCAGATATTTGAAGTGATCAGTGCTGAAATTGCAATTTCTTCATTTTATGTCAGTGAAAATAGGTGTGATTTGATGGAAATGTGGACACAGCTTAACTGTATCACTGGGTAATTCACTATTCCCTAACAAAGCTTCCATGGCAATACTTGAACAAGGTAAATCTCTGTGAGAACTTGAAATAAATCTGAGAACTTTAACTGGATCACTGGGAAGGGAAATAACCACATTCCCTCTGCTGGATGCAGGGTGGTTCAAAAGGGATTTACACACCCAGCAGGAAAATCTGATTGAGTGGAGCAAACCATGGAGAACTCAGTGGCTGTGAGGCTGCAGCAGAAACAGTTACAGCCTGGCAGTTCCCTAAAATAATCTGGATTTTGGGTTTATTAGAAAGCTGGATCAACTGGTGATTCTTCTCAGTGGATCAGAGAAACCCAAAAATCCAGTGAAAATTACAAAAGCAATTTAAAAACTGAGCCACTTCAAAATATTTTTAAAAGATCCACTCATAAATGATATTGATGAGATTGATGCACCTACAGCCCAGTGCTGCTGAGGCAGCTCTGTTTTCAAATAAAAGGCAACATTAAGATGTTTTTGTATTACAATTTTTTCTATTAATGAGCAGAAAATATCTGAGCTGCTGCCATCTTTCTCCAGGGTCCTCCTCAGAAAAATGTCTGCAAGAACAGCACTGCATAAATACCTTAAACTTCATGACTGGATCATAATTATTATACATTCAGGTAAAAAGTAAAATAATTCTTTTCCTGTTCCCAGAACTGTAGATATTCCTTCCAGCTTTATTTTGGAATGTATCATTCTCCAGCAATATCATCACTGATGTGGGTTTTGTAGCTGAACAATCTGTGTGGTGATGGCAAAGCCTGCAGAGTTCAACTGACATCATGGAATCAGAAAATCATGGAACGGTTTGGGTGGGGAAAGGACCTTAAAGCTCATCCAGTGCCACCCCTGCCATGGCAGGGACACCTTGCACTGTCCCAAAATAAGCCCAGCCCCATCCAAAGGGCACAACCAAGATGGAAATGTTCCCCCCAGGCAGGAAGGGCTTGGGGGAAGTGGGGAAAGCAAGGAGGCTCCACTGAATTCCCAACAGGAAAAATATCCTACACTGAGACAGAGGGAGATTTCCTTCCTTTCACCACCCAGTCACTCCAGTTGAAGTGGCCACATTTCAGGGGACAAAGGCACAGCTGTGGCACCAGAACAGCCTGAGGTAGAGCTAATGGGGGAAGGAAAGGCAGGATCTGGGCACTCAGCTGCTTCAACAAGATTATCTCAAACCCTTAAAATCATCAGGGTCACACTGAAATGTGTTAAGGTGCTTCGAAACTGAACACTTGGACTTGAAAAAAACCAAAAGTACCAATTGGAAAGGTCTGGATTTAGCATTGCCAAGGTCATGGCTTCACTGAATCCCACCAGGAATCAGAAGGAGGAAAAGATTCCTCCAAAGACTCCTCAAACAGAACCCATGGAGGGTTCACAGAGTGCTCCTCACCAGAAATCTGGTGCATGAATTTAACCTGCTAAACACAGCAGAGCATGAAGGGCCAGAGAGAAAGGTGCCTGAGAGAAATCCAGGTTTGGTAGGATGTGAGAAGTCAGTGATCCTTGGGGCAGCTGGAAAGGCTCAGAGCTCACACAGCAGCTCTGCTTGGTCCACAAAGCAATTGCAACCCCCCTGGACCTCGTTCCCATAAGGTGCAATAAAAACAAACTGGTCCCCACTTGTCCTGAAGCTGGGTAAGTGTTTTTATAGGAAAATACATCTCAAGAGCACTGGTGCTCTGTGAGTTGCTGAAATAAAAGTCTTTTCTGAGTGCTGTTCCACAGGTCTAAGCAATTAGTTTGGGGGTTTTTTTTCTCCCTAATCCCACTGGGAGGGTCAGCAGAGCTTTATCTAATCTTGCTTTCTTTTGATGTGATCAGTTTTCCGGGATCAATTGGACATTTTCACCTAATTTCCTTCTCTAGCCAGTCTTGAGATACTGGTGAATTGTCTTCTCCTCCCTTCCCTTGACAGATTATTAACACAGGAAAGCAAAAGCTGCCAAAGCCAAAAGCTTCTATAGCTGTTAAAAGGTTTTAGAAAAAGTCTTCTGGCTCCTGGTGTCTTACAGTGGGCATTCTGTGGCACCCACAACAAACACAGAATGTGGAGCCAGCAGAATGGAAAGAGATCCTGGAAGTCATTTTTGTCCTCCTGTCTCTTGTCATCCAAGGAAAAAGGAAGAAGGTAAAATGTCTCTGAGACAAGTCTCTCTTCACAGACGTCAAACAATTCCCCAAAAGGACCTGATCAGTACTGGTATTTTTCTTTTCTTCCCACTTCCTCCTTCTTAACAATTTTTACCCAGGATTATTAATTCATGAAAGGCACTGAGAGAGCATTTGAAGAAACACAGAACAATTCAGAGAAGGAGCAGGGGATGAGCTCCCCACCCTTATTTTTAACTGTCTTAATAATTCCTTACTGAGCCCTGCCTCGGAACAAGTCCATTTGCTAAGGGTTAATATTATTCACTTCTTTAAAAAAAGCACAAAACTAAAAAAAACCACCACAGCTTCCCTAGTGAAGCAGTGGAAGGGCATGGATAGGAGGCAGAATGATGAGAATTGCAGTGCAGCCTGGGCTGGGCTGCTAGGGGCTGAGCTGGGGGCAGAAGGATGAGCACACCATGCTCATCAGAAGGATGAGTTCATCAGCACAATTCAGAGAAGGAGCAGGGAACGAGCTCCCCATTCTTATTTTTAACCATCTTAATAAACCCTCACCGACCCCTGCCTCGGAACAAATCCATTTGCTAAGGGCTAATATTATTCACTTCTTAAAGCAAAACTAAAAAACCCCCCAGTGCTGGGCAATGAACGGGGCATGGATATGGGGGAGAATGATGAGAATGATGAGAATTGCAGTGCAGCCTGGGCTGGGCCGCTAGGGGCCGAGCTGGGGCCGGAATGACGAGCGCACCGTGCGGTTCATCAGCGGCTGCAGCGGGCGGAAGTTGTCCACCATCCTCCTCTCCTCCTCCCCGTCCGACGTGAACAGCAGCATCCGAAAGGCCTCCAGCTGGGAAGCACAAATGGCCACTCCAGTCACTTCCCAAGAATTCCCCCCACTTTGGGAATTCATGGCAAAAGGCAAGAGTTTCTTGGTGAAATTAAACGTAGCGCTACATTCGAGTTCGGAGGGGTTTTAGCACCCACAGCTTTGTCAGCTGCTGGTAAAGTTTGTCCCATTATCCACAGCAGCGTGGAGGAATTATCACATCTGCTGGGAGCCATAAATGGCCACTCCAGTCACTTATTAAGAATCCTCCCAGTTTGGGAATTTATGGCAAGAGTTTGTTGTTGGTGAAATCAAAGGTAGCGCTACATTCGAGTTTTGAGTTTTAGCACCCACAGCTTTGTCAGCTGCTGGTAAAGGTTGTCCTGTTATCCACAGCAGCGTGAAGGAATTATCACATCTGCCATTCCCAGGGAAATTAAAAATTAAATCCCAAATAATTGCCAATCACATCCCAATGACACCTGAGAGAGCTATTTCCACTCAAATATTTCATCCAACCTCCATTTACAGCCTCTCTGGTACCCAGAAAAGAGGGAATCCCAACAACCCCCAAGAATTATCACATCTGCCATCCTTAGGGAAATGAAATCCCAAATGTGGCACACCTGAGAGAGCTATTTCCACTCAAATACTTCATCCAATCTCCATTTACAGCCTCTCTATCACCCAGAAAAGAGAGAACCCCAACGATCCCCAAGTTGTTCTCTCTCTGGTTTATAACTGGCATTAAAATAAAGCAGCAGCAGATCAGCTTTTAATGCTCACAGGGCCATTCCAATGGTAAATCACTGCTATGAGAGTAAAGAGTCAAGGAAAAAAGGAAAAAATGAGAAAAATTTCAATTTAAAAGAATGCCACACTACGCCTGCAGCTCTCTGTTAATCTCCATCTCACAAAATCTTCCCTTTTTCCCTTCCCTCCAAAAAAGGCTGCATCATGCTAAGGAGAGCAAAATTATGAGAATTCCAGTAAGTTCTTAAAACTCCCCAAGTTTTCAAGGGGCAGCTATCACAGATCAAGATAAAACTCTCGAGAATAGATAGAAAAATTGAATAAAGCTGAAAAAACATCTTGGAGAGGTCTTAGGTCTTTCAGTGTTAGTGGCTATTAATGCCAGGATTCCTCCTCAAATCCTGAAAACAGAGAATTTTTGTGTTTTCCCAGAGAATTGCTGGTGAAAACCTGGTTCTGAGCATCTCTGTGGCAGCAAGATGTGAAAGGAAAAATCGAGATTTACCTGATCCTCATCCACCTCGATTGGTTTCTTCTTAATGATCCAGGTGACTGATTCAGTGAGGGGGGGAGTGGTCAAGGAGCCAGCGTAGGTCCAGTAATCAGGACAGGAAGGGATCAGACAGGAGGGATCAAACTCATCAAACTCAATCACAGTGTCCTAAAGAGCAGGAAAAAAAAACATTTTTAAGGATGGCGTTTTGAGAAAAAAAAAAAAAAAAGTTGGAAAATATCTTAACGGTGAGGTAAAAACTGTGTGCATGGGAATATTAATATTATTTTAAAACCCTCAAATTTGTATAAAATTGGGGTTGAGGTGTAAGGGGTGCGAGCTGCTGAGCAGCCAAAATTGAAATATTTCTGCTGTCCTCACAAGCCATTAGGAATTCAGTGCAGGAGAAGCAAGGAGTGAGAAGGATCCATGGCCTAAGGCTTTGTGGGAGCTGGATGAAAGCAGGAAAAAGGGAATAAGTGGTGGAATAAATTCAGGTAGCTGTGCCAGATCCTTAAGAGACTGCAAACAAAAAGTGTTTTACTTTTCACCACGTCATTTTAGGCAGCAGGAAGAGGGCTGAAGTTTTATTTAAATTAAATATTCTCATCTCCAGAATGTTCAATCCCACAAGTGGGATATCAGACAGAATGTAAGAGCTTCAAAACCCAGGATTTCCCACACAAACATTGCTCCAGGGGGATTTCAGGATATACTGGGGGATCTTGGCTTCATTTCTTTTAAATTCACATGCAATAAATTATTATATTGTCACAATAGGTGTATATTCAGATTTGGGAAGGTCTTCTGGCACTGAGCTGATGTGTTTGGTGTTTAGCTGGCAGAGTTGTCACTGCTCCCATATAAAAACTTGTTTTATTTGGATTTTGAAAACTCCTTCCTGTGAGAAGTAGTGGCACAGCGACTTCAGCTGGATGGGATTAGAAGTGGAAGAGGTCGTGTGTGGTTTTTTTCGTGTGTATTTTCAGAAGGGAACGGGCACGGGGAGGAGGAACTGCTTCAGTCAGAGACTCAGCACTCCCTCTCCTGGCAGGAGCCTGCCAGCAACGATCCCGTTCCCCCAGCAAGAAAAATCGCTGTTTATAAAAAAGCAAATCATCTCCTCAAAGATCAAAAAGCCTTAATCCCACAGTAAATAAACCCCCACTTCAAGCCTTGTAAGTGGAAACAATCTCAAGAGCAGCATTTCTTCAAGAGGTTTGGAAAAATTCAAGTGTCCCAATTTCTCCTGAAAAATCAGCTTCCCTTCCCACTTCCAGGGTGGCAATCAACCTCCCCCGGTAAAAGTGAAGGAAAGAAATTTTTTCTGGGTGTTTTGTGTTCTCCAGGTGTTCTCTGTGCTGGGAGGGACACCTCAGAGCACTGACCTTGTGTCTGACTGCAGGCAGGGCATCCACCAGGGTCTGCAGCCCTTCATGTCGTGCTCCCAGCTGCAGGGACAGGGAAAGGGGTGGAAAATCAATAAGCTGATCAATAATCAACCCGTTTTACTCACCCAGCTTGCTTAGTATTTTTTTTATTACAACAGTCACAAAATATTTAGGGTTGGAAGGGGAGCTCTGGAGATCATCCAGCCCAAGGATGGTAGGAACACATCCAGCTGGGTTTGGAATGTCTCCACACAGGGATATTTCCTCCCTGTTCCACCCTCTACATAAAATTCTTCACATTGAGGTGAAACTTTTTCTAGTTTCTGGCCATTGCTCCTCATCCTGTCACTGGCATTATCCTCTGGCACCCCTTGGAAATATTTATATGGATTGATGGGATCCCCTCTCAGCCTTCCCTTAATTGCCCTAAATTGGCTTTAACAGAATGCAAATAGAAAGAACCCATTATTAGAGCTGGTCCCAAAGAATGAAATTACCTTCAAGAACACTCCAATAACAGCCAGGCCATTCCCTTCCATCACAGCATCCTCAAAACTTGGGTAATCCACAGCATTCCAGTGCACCAAATGCAGCTGAAAGAGGAATGAGGCAGAAATCAAACCCTGCACAGAGCACAGACCCCACACCTGACATTGATCCTGGCTGCTCCTTGGCAGGGTGAGGCACTGCAGTGAGCTCCCCACAAACCACAGAAATGAGGAACAACGTGCTCTTGGTAAATAATATTCCTTCTCTTCCTTTTTTTTCTCTTTCGTTTTGAACAATAGTTAAGAGCCACTGCATTTCCCATCTATAAAAGGGATTTAGTCAGTGGGAGCCTGCCTCCAGGAATTGGTCAAAGGCACACACAAAGCTCAGTCCTCCATCTCTTGCCTCTCTTCCCAAGAGGAGCAGAGCACCCTGTGCCCCTGAGGAACATCCTCCTGCACACAGCAATGCTCCTCTGCACTGCTCACAGCCAACACATTCAGGGCTTTTGTGTGACAAACAAATACCCCAGCCCAAAAACAAACAGTATCCCTGCTAGTGAGGATCTTGCCAAGCTGGCTGCACCTACCATGAACACAACAACGGGAGAGAAACCCTCCTTAAAAATAACCCATCATCACTTGGCAAATTCTTCTCCCTTGGCAAAGAACTGTGGTCAAAGCTGTCACAATTTCACATCTTCACTGACTTTTGTTAACATTTTCTTCCTTAGTAGTTACTTTAAGCATCAAGTTTTGCTATTTTAGTAACAGTTCAACAGTTGCAAAGAGAAATTAAAGTGATTTTTTTTAAGAGTACTTAGTATATGCTTTGCTTCTCCGAAAGATTTAGTAACAATAAACAAAGTCATTTTTAACTTTCAATAATGGGGCCAATATCCAGTTTTCAGACTGCTCTTCTCCAGAAAACACAGATGGATTTTTATAGAATAAAACAGCAGATGAGCATTTAAAAATAAACTGCAACTCCTCAGTTTGGGAGTTTGCACAGACACACCTGAGACAAGTATTTGCATTATTCAGGATTTCATCTCCTACCTCTGCTGGGTAAAATTTGCTGTCAACTGTGTGCTCCGAGCCCCAGTCATTGATAGCTCCCCAGTGGAAGTGGAACTGCTTTAGCCTGTACTGGTTTTCCAAGGGACCTCCAACGATGACTAGAAAACAAAACAAGACACAGGTTAATAAATATCATCTGGAATTGGTCAGACCAGTAAATGCTTGGGAAAAAATTGCCCAGGAAGAAATATCAGGTGGAGAAACTCAAACAGTGCCTATCTACACTTTGCCACGACCAAATTATTCAAGAAAACATTTCTGGTTCTCCCTGCATCAAACTGGAGGTGAGCTGAAGAGTCTCCTCATCCACCTCCCCTCAAGGGAAAGTTTTCCCAGTTGGCACCAAGTTTGGCACTGTCACAGTGATGAGTTTCACATTCTCACTCTCTCAGGAGTGTCAGGACTGCCTGACCAGGTGACACAGCAGTGACACATCTATTAAATGTATTCAGTGACATCCCTGCAAGGATCTGGGAAAAATATTGATATTTCTCATGACAAGACTTCAAAAAGCAAATATTACCAGACAAATCAGTATATTGAGTCAAACGTTCAAGTCTCCTGCAAGCTACAAAAATCCAAACATCTCATTCTGCTTCAACACAGCTTCCACACTGCACCAAGGTCAGCCAGAAATGTTTTGTTGTGCCTACAAGCTGGCCATGAGGATTTAAACATCCAGTCTGCCACTGGGCAAGTTTCTGAAAGATTTAATGAGTAAAGGTAGAACTTCAGTCTGTTCTCCTGGTTTCAGAAGGCCTCCCATACTTCTGCAAACACATGAATGAAAAGTCCATGCCCAACTTTCTGCTTCCACTCATTCCCTCCTAGCTGAACCAAAACCTGCAAAGTCATCTTGCTAATTATGATATCAGAGCATCTGGTAAATGAGAAACCCTAATTACTTCCCAAGGGCTAAGAACACTTATGGAATCAGAGAATCCTTTAGGTTGGAAAAGAGCTTTTCCAAGTGTTCATCCAGCACTAAACCATGAGCATCTGCTGATTTTTACTGAACTGTAGGACAGGGAGAAGTTTTACAGCAAACCTTGGTATAAAGCACCTAATCCCAGCACTGCTTTTGGAAATAAGTTAATCACTTCCATGCTAAGGAGAAAACAATGAGAGGCATTAAGAGATTTTCTTGTATTATTTTTCTTTTCCATGAAAGCCAGCCAGCAGGTTTGAAATCCTAACCAGAGAGGCCTGTCTGTGATAAAGGAATAAATTCAAACAAGCTGTGCAAAATGACACTGAATTAATTTCATCCCCTGCTGCTGAGCTCTGGGCACGAATGCAATACTGACCACCACTGGAAAATCCCAATGCCCCATCCCTGGAAGTGTCCAAGGCCAGCTTGGATGGGATTTGGAGCACCTTGGGATAGTGGAAGATGTCCCTGCCTGTGGCAGGGGGTGGAATGGGATGAGCTTGAAGGTCTTTCCCACAAAACCAAGCTGGGATTCTGTGCTGGAGAAGGGGTGGGATAAAGCTGTGGGTCACACACCCAAACTTCTCAGAAGTGACATTTCTGTGCTCTAACACCATCTAGTGCTGATTATGTGATATGCAAACCCAGAAGCGACTACAAATTTGTGTTAATAACCACGTCCACTTGAATATTTGCCTCAGGAGTAACTTCAGGCACAGACACACATGGAGAGACTCAGGTTCCCGTAGTGGTCACCAGAAAGTGACAGGAAACAAACAGGAACTTCAGTCCCTTTAGAAGCATTTCTTCTTAAATTACAATCTTGACAATTTCAAAACAAACCCGAATTTTTAAGAGGCTCTAACAACAAGAACCACATCCTTGCAGCCCTGGCTCTGTTCCAGCCCCATTTCTGATGGCACCACACACAGACAGATCACATGCTGTACATACCTTCCCCTCACCCTCTTCTTCCTCCTGCTCTACCTTCAGCTTTAGCCCAAGTCTTGCAAACCCCATCTCAGGATTCAGGCATTTTTGTCTATCCTGGGTGTCTTTCTCATCTTCTGATTCAACTGTGGTGTTTTTTGTTTGTTCCCAAGCTTTCTTCTCTGGGTTTCTATGATTGTTAGACAGAAGCTGGCAGTGAGAAAAACCAGAAATAGCAAGAGCAAAGAGAGAAAGGTGGAGGAGAGAGGCAGGCACCTGAAAACTGGGGGTTATACACCAACACCTCACTCTCTGCTGCTTCTCTGTCACTTTGGAGCCCTGACACCTGAGCCCTGATTGTTTGTTGCCATCCTACCCTTCAGGGACTTGAGGTCACTAAGGAAGATGAGGATGATGAAAAGGCAGCAAATGCTCACAGGGAAGGAAAGTCTTAGAGACAAAGCAGGTCAGATCTTTGAGAGGTGAGCACCAGCCTCAAAGGCCTGAGCCTTGCCTTAATACCACAAAAACTGCTCCTGTGCAATTAAATATTGCATATTTCTCAACCTCCTACAGGCAATTCCCCTTCATTACATCAATTCTTGAAGAAAAAAGTCCAACTTTATTATCCACTAAACATTTTTCAGGATCTTATCCTCAACAGAGAGTGGGGTGTGGCTAATAAAGCAAGAGGCTGCTCAATCTAAAACAAAGCCAATCTAAAAGTTAAAAAATTAAAGTCACTGATGAGGCAACAATGATGTCAGTCCCCTAACACAACCTCACTGAAAAAAATAGCATTTTGTGCTGGAGAAACAGAAGGGCAGGACTCAGCTTCTGCATGGTATCAGTGCTTAAAGGGCCAGGATATTTCCTCTTGGAAATGGATTATTCTGAGTAAACAGCTAGAAACAAGAAAAACAAAACGAGCCCCAAACAAACATCACAGAAGCTCCCTGCGTTCCACCACCACGGTTTTTGCTGCAGTGTTTTATCAGCCAAACGTCAAGCAGAAATGTCGGTGTTGTGAAGACAAAGTGTTTGTTTGTGTGCTGGAGGCTCCCTCCCCGAGGGCATTGCTAAATCCCTCAGGAAGCTGGAGGAGTTCTCATGGTGAACAGCCACTTTAAACATAAATGACTCCAATCCAACAGGTTCAAACTTGCTCAGGGTCGTTCAGTTTTTCCCTGCAGGACAAGCTGGGCAATCGTGCTTCACAACAGCCCTGACCAATCGCTACCAGCTCACCTGCCCTTATGAAATATCTTCTAATTCTGCAATATCCTTCCTTTTAGAAGGAACAGTAATCTGGGATTTGGGAGCAATATCTTGATTTTAAGTCAATTTTTTTTACTCTATTGAGCTTTTTAAAAGGTTGAGCTGCTCAGGTCAGAGGTTTATTCACCTGAAATTGCTGGAATGCACGGTTGGATTTTCCATGCACTCCTGCTTCCCCTAAAACAACAGGGACACACACACCTGCTCCTGAGGGCAGAGCTCAGTGTTATTCCATTCCCTAAAACCCCACTGAGATAAGGCTGTGTGCTTTCCAACTGCAACTCATTTGGCTGCTGATTATTTCAAGTGCATTAAATATCTCTATTAACACCACAAGAGATAAGTGGCAGATTACTTCAATAAAGAGCAGTGATGGAATCAGGTTTCAAATTGAGTAGGTACACACATAAATGACTGAAGATTGAACTCGTGTGGTTAAGTTTATTACAAAACCTACAAGACAGGGCACTGAGGCTTGTGAAAGGAGTTTCAACACACAGCAGAGGATTTGTGCACAATGCCCATGGCAATAAAAACACTGTCAATGTGAAGTCTGTACAGAATTTCTTCATCATGATTCCCACCAGTGCAAAGCCAGCATTATTTTTAACTGTACACTCATTTTCAACATCAGGTCTTACATCCCACAAGTATTTTTCCTCTCTCAGCATTAAATAGATTTTTTTTTTCCCCCCTGAGTTTTTTTGCTTACTTGATCTATCAGCAGAATCATCAAACTCCACGAGGAAGGAGTAGCCATTGTTCCAGATGTGAAGACAGGTGGTGGGGTCGTAGCTGATTTTCAGAGGCTTCAGGAAGGGATCATAAACACTGTCCCTCCACTGGATGTTGATGGGAGACTGGCGGGTGCCTCCGGGAATTGTCAGCGGGCTCTGCCACAGTGGATGCACTGCAGGGTGAGGAGGAGAGTCAGGATACAGAACTTTCTGGCAAGGGAACGTGCTGTGTCACCAAAGGCTAATTCGAGTCAGCTGGTGCCCAGGAAAGCAAAAGAAAAATAAAACATTCCAGTTGCATGACTCAAAGCCGCACAGGGAAGTGCAGTAATTTGACTTAGAACCATGTCAGTACCCTTCTGTCTTTGCAGGCTGCTCTGCAAAGAAATTGCCCCTTATTTCCCATAAAAAGAGAATGTTTTCCTGTCACCGCCAGATTTTAAGGCAGCTTTGTTTTACAGCTTTCTTTACACACCAGCACCATCAGCTGAGCTGGGAGTGTTCCAGACATAGAATAATTCCCACTGGGAAGCAACACATTCTCTAGAAAGAAGCACAGCACAGGGGTTACTCCACAACGTGGGGCTCGGAACACCAATAATGACCAAAACTGCTTCGTGCAGATGGATCCTGCTGACTCAAACCCAGCAATTTTGGGGGCAGCTTGGTGCCCTCAAACTGGCACAAGCAGGATGGGTACATGAATGGTTTCCACAGGACTTTATTCTGCTTAAAACCAGAACTGCTGCCTGTTCACCGGCACACAGCTTTGGGTGCCCCATCCCTCTGCTGAACACCAAATCGCGATGCTTCGAGCATCACTCACTACTACTTCACTAGATACGACTGCTCAGTGCCTTTTAAACGAGGAATTAAAAGTAAATTAAACCTTCCAACCACTCACACCAAGGGTGGCCGAACAGCTTTCCCCCCCCGCCCGGTTTCCCACAGCGAGGAGCAAACGTTCCAGCGCTCCGTAAGGTCAGCTCAGGCAAAGGCGGCGCAAAGCGTTCTCTGTATTTAAAACACGGCCACTTCCCGATGCTTCAGCCGAGGACAAAGCCAGCAGAGCTCCCGAAGGCTCCTACACAAAGTTTGGCAGCGATGGCGGGGCAGGGGGAGAGCGGCACTCACGGGCGTCTCGCAGGCGGTACGAGCAGCAGGCGCCGAGGCTGCAGCGGCGGCTGCCCGGCCGTGACGAGCAGGAGGAAGAGGAAGGCGAGGATGAAGCGACGGCAGCCACCCAAGCCCGGCGGAGCAGCGGCAACATCGCGGCGGAGATCGCGGAGCCACCGCCCAGCCCGGCCCGGCCCGGGGCGGCCCCTTCCGGCACGGCCCTGCCGCCATGGCTCAGGGGGCGGGCTGAGGCTGCCCTCGGTGCCTCCTCATGCCGTGACAGCCCTGCGGCTCCGTGCCGGCTGGGCATCGCCATTTCATCGCCATTTGCCGGGCTCGGGGAGGTCCCCGTGCCCCTGACAACAGCGCGGCCCCTCACAGCAAGTGCGGCCCGTCACGTCCAAAGTGATTCCTTCGCACTGGGTACGGTACGAAAGAGTGATGCCTCACCCAGAAATGTATCCCCTCACACCAAAATTGTGTTTACTCCCTCACAACAAAGTGTTTCTCCTCATATCGTGTTTTCCCTCACACCAAGAGAGTATTTATTCCCTCACAAGTGCGGCCCGTCACATCCAAAGTGATTCCTTCGCACTGGGTATGGTACAGAAGAGTGATGCCTCACCCACAAATGCATCCCCTTACACCAAAATACTATTTACTCCCTCTCACCAAAGCGTTTCTCCTCATATCAAGTGTGATAATTGATAAAAGATTCGTGTTAATCACAAAAGCATTGGGGTTTGTATAAACCAGAATACTAAGCTCTGAAGTGAAGCATGGACACTAGATAAAGGAAATCACATGATTAAATAATTCTGTTTAAAATCACCTTCTTATATTATGTTGTATTATGTTACATTATAATATGTTACGTTATGTTTTTCAAATAAGTTGTATCGGCTACCAGCTTGGAAAATCAGACTTCCCAAAAAGCCCTTCCTGCCTTTGTCTGATCAATGCTGCCTATCCCAAAAACCAGACTCCCAGAACTTCTCTGGTGGTTATCTACAAGGACCGGATGGCTGTGACTGATTATCACCCAAAGGCTTTGTGAATTTGTGTACAATAAAAAACCACAGTATAAGAGGAGGCTGCAAACCAAGGTTGGGTGGAGCGTGGAGTGGGCGGTGACCCCTCACGTTCCCCAGCGCTGCTTGCTCTTTCTATATCAAATAAAGCAATCTAAATTTTGCTGAATATCGAGACTTTTGTCTCTCATTTATAACATTGTTTCCCTCACATGAAGAGAGTATTTATTCCCTTACACCTAGTGCAGCCCTTCACATCCAACACCATTCATTCTCATCGAGTACATCCCCTCAAAGGAGTCATCACCTCACCCAAAATCGTGTCCCCTCACACCAAAGTTTCTCCTCATATCAAGTGTTTTCCCTCACATCAACAGAATATTTATTCCCTCACTCCATATGACCCTTCATATCCAAAGTGATTCCTTTGCACCAAGCACATCCCATCTAAAGAGTATCACCTCAACCAAAAAGTGTCCCCTCATACCAAAATAGTATTTATTCCCTCAAACCAAAGCATTTCTCTTCATATCAAGTGTTTGCCCTCACGGAGTATTTATTCCCTCACACCAAAGTATTTCTCATCACACCAAGTGCATCCTCTAACACCAAAAAAAGTATTTATTTTCTCACGCCAAGAGTGGGTGGCCCTGGCACAGCTGAGCCCCCTCTCCAAGCCACATTTGGAAAAGTTGTGTAAAGTTAATATTATGTTTATTTTTCTTGGCTGTCACAAAGGCAAGAGACCGAAATAGTCCCACTTTGGATGGTGAAAGGGTAAATTCAACTCAGTGTTCACTCGACACTGCCTGAGGAAGAGAAATCTCAATGAAAATGGTTAAAACCTTTCCAGCTGCCAGCAAGGAATACACAGCAAAAAATAAATTTAAAAAAATAATAATAAAGCTGAAAGTGTCAGTGAAAGCACAGAGATAAAGCATGAGTTCCAATTTTTGCCAGTTCTCTTGGGCAGCCAGGAACAGAGCACCACCCTCAGCTCCTGACCTTCATCTTGCTGTATGATCATACTTCTAGTTACTCTCTTAAAATCATTTTGAAGATCTGCATTTATCTTTTGGGGATTTTTTTTTTTATCTTGTTAGGATGAGTACTTTTGAATTTTCACAAGGAACTGAAATGAAGACAGGATCAGATACTCAGCCAGAGTCAGCCAAGAAGTGTTTGCCCTGTTTTGCCAACATTGTGTAAGAAGTTTCCATTGCATTCTCAGTATAACGTGTTTAAAGTACTCCTGAGTTGAGTAAGAGCAGATTGAAATCTGGCAAACGATTTTCTTTGAGTGGCATGATCACAAACAGATCATCAGGAGATGTACAAAGAGCTTGTGATGTCAGGATGCTAAACTGGGCTTAAATTTCATTTCACGTCCTCCCTGCAGGGTCTTGCGTAGCAGGATTCAATTGCAAGCAAAATGAATCTTTGGTTTGACTCCCAACTTCTTTTAGGATCGCTAATTTACTATTCTCAACAGAATTCTTCCTTAAAAAATAATTAATGAAATCAATGAAATTGAAAAAAAACTACTGCCCATAAACATAATGATTCAGTCAGGTTTAATCACCGTTTAACAGCCTATTAATCATGGTTAGGCAACTCATTAACACAGCTACTGATGGACAACAGGCAGCCCCTGGTCACCAGGACAGCCCAGGTGGGCTTCAGGTGCTTTATATTCAGCATAAATAAGAGATACTGAGGGGTTTTATGACAAATTACGAATTACTGACAAATTACTGTCATCCCTCCACCATTCTTCCAGGATGTATCCTCTAAATCCAACAGATAACCTTGGGCAGCTTAGAAGTTACATCTACACCTGTTCTGTAATTAGAGAAAAACACAGAAAACTACAAGCATCCGTTTTCTGTATGCTAAAGCTCATGAAATAAAAAGCCTCCAGCTCTACACTTTTACATCGTGCTATTAAGACAACCCAACTTCCTGAAGTTTTTGGTGGTTTGATCCTGCAAGATTTTGAAAAATGTGAAGTTTTTCGTTTTTCGCTAAGCTGAACAGAACGAGTGACTTCTTGTGGGCTGAACAGCACAACAAAAAGGAATCTCAGAAATGATGGGCTGGTGAGGTACAAAATTAAAGAGAATTCACTTTGTTTCCCTCCTGAATCACTCATAGAATCTCCATCTGGCTTTTTACGTGCACATGCTATTCCTTATTGAGCATGAAGTTCATTAAAACTCTAGCATTTAATTTTAACAATTCTTCAAAGAAAACCCTTCAAAATAGGAGCTCAGTGGCAGGGAGACGGTTTGGAAACTGCAGACAAAAAGGTAAAACTACCTGTGCAAAAAGGAAGCCTAAACCTTATTCCCAGGACTTAACCAACTTAGCCAAAATCTTCTTTTCCAGACCATTCCAGTAAGTTTTCCCTTGGCCATGCCCCAGCTCAGGATGGTGATTTATGCAAGAGAGATGCAGCTCTCATGCAGCAAGAGCTGGAGAGAGCAACAGCAGCCAGGATCACAATATTTCTGTTGTTTCCCCCAAATTTTTACATTTTTGGGCCATCTGGGAAGTTCCAGCCGGGCTCTCTCTTTTTCCTGAACCCAGAGCCCGAGGGATGAGCTCAAGTGATGCAGAATCTGTGTGGGAAGAGAAATAGAAACCTCACCTTGGAGTTTTCAAAGCTGATTTTAAAAAAGGTGAGAATTAGAGCTAAGTGTGCAATTTGCACCCTTTGCTCATGAGGAAGGGCCTGGGCTGGTGTTTGCCTTTATCACACACCCATCTCTGCTGCTGTCAGAGCAGTTAAGCTGAATTTTGTCATACAGAAAGTGTGAATCACCTGTGAAAAGGGATCTGCCACAAACAGACCTAATCTGTGCCTGATTCGATTTTTTTTTTAAATCCCCATCAGACACAGGGATGTTCCATGTAATTTAATAACGTTTGGGAGCTTCTTACATTTGCCCTGCATTTTTGTCCCCAGACATACAGAGCCATCCAAATAATCCCAATCTTTGGAATACTTTTTATAATTAATTGCAGCTTTTGAAGTAGTTCTTAAGGAGTCTATTTAGAATTGATGCAAGCATCAAAAGCTTCAGGATGGGAATCAAAATCCAGATGAAAATAAAGGTTTTAATCTTTGAAAAGAAAAATACCTGTTGAATCGAGTGCTTTGATTTCTTTACAAAAGAGATAAGGCAGGACAGACATTGTGGCAGGAAGAGCTGAGAAACCCCACCCAGGGGAAGGAAATAAGGCCCTGTTTGCCATAGCAACACATTCTGAATGAAAAAAATAAAATATACACGTTGCTAAAACTCAGGAAAGAACCATTTTAAAACTTCAAAGGTCCACAGCTCTGCTTCAGCCACTGGGACTGAATATTGCAGAGGAAATCCAAGATAGGTTGAATTCCTTGAAGCTTTTTTTTTTTTTTTTTGTCAGAATCAAGATTTTGGAGGATAAGAGCGCTGGCTGGCTCATGTCCATCGTGACAAGGTGCTGAAAGTTGTGCTGAGTTGATGTCAGATGGGAGCTGTGATTTAGGGCAGTTTATTGATAAACAGCCCAGAGCTTTTTATCAAACAGATGCAGCTGACAGGGCGCTCCCAGCTCGACAGGGGAGCAGCAGCACATTGGGAAATGCTGAGTTTTCCTCTGCTTCCACAGCGTTTGGCTGAGCCAGGAGCCTGGCTGAGGAGGCAGTGGCTGAGCCCAGATAAGGGGGAGGTAATTCCAGCTGGCGAGGTAAAGCAAACAGAGCCTTTATCTGCTCCCCGTGTAAAAAATATTCACTGAAATGATGCATGCAGGCTTAGGAAGCCAGCACGGAAAGGGAACTCCTGAACAATCTGGGGAGGCACTGCAGTTGTATTACAGGCCTGGAGATGGCACACCTGGATTGTGTGTCTATGCAGGACTCGTGCAATTTGAGAAAAAAAAAATACCAAAACTTGAATGATTCTGCTTTTCTTGTAACCACTTCTAAAAGGGCAAGGAAGGAAAAAGCCATTCAGGTCTGCTCTGGTAATAATTACTAAATTAGGCTTAAAAATCCCCATGGAGGGTATTTCCAGCAATTATTCTAAAAAATTAATGTCTGAAACATCCACGTGTCATTACAAGATACCTCAGACACTCCCTGGTCTTCCACACCACTGGGAATTTTGACATCCATGCTAAATTCTCCCCAGTGTTTCTGCAGTGAAGTGCAGGAAAAGCCCTTTGTCCTTGCAGGGTCACAAGGGGAATCCAAAAGCTCCAGAAATTGTCAGCCTTGGAGTTGTTTGAGCCTGGTGTGAGTAACTGTGGAGTAATCCCCAGGCTGCCTCACTCAGAGCTCCTGTCCACTCCCTGCCTGCCAAAAACAGCCATTCCAAAGACAGGGTTTTCCCAAATCAGTTTGTTTTGGCATTTCCTGCATGAATGGCACAGAGAAGAGAAAGGTTGAAGAAATAAACAGTATCAGTCTTAAATTGAAAAGAGGAATGTGAGTAAAAATAGATACCCGTTGTGGCTCATTCAATCAGCAGTAGTGCTTGGATGGAACAAACTGGTCTGATCTCTTCTTGGAATGGGAGCCCCTCTTACCCTGGTTAACCATGAAATGTTCAAGGCTCTGTTCTTTGGGAGAAGTTATTACGCTGAATAAATTTACAGAGGGAAAAAATAAGGAACAAAAGTTTTTTCTAGCTATAAAAAAATTACTCTTTACTATTCCCCAGCCGACATTATCTGCACAGCAGTAAGTAGACAATCTCTGGCTGGCCCCATCTTATCTGAAAGTAAGTTAATCAGTATTTTAAATAACTAAATCTTTAACATCCTCCAGGAGTATCTTGCCCCTCAAAGTGATTTATTGGAGGTTTGTACAGCACATTTGGAGGGGTTTGTGGCTTGTTCTAGGCCTCGTTTTCCAAATCAAACATTGCAGTGGCTATGAAATTCCGAGTCAGAATCAATTTGTGCTAAATGTGTTTTGAGTTATGCTCATGAACACAATTCTCATTGAAAGCAGCCAAGCTAAGTAAAGATTGCTTCTTGTCACATGTGGGAGTCACAAAAAACCCAGTGCCATTGACAGCAGAAATAAAGAACAAGACAGAACCCTGAAATTCCACGAAGTATTTTCATTTCTTTCACTCTATCCACTCTCTTTTCTCCAATCCCCCTATCACATCCCCAAATGCCCCTTTTTAATTCGCTAATAAATAAGAACAACACTCAACCACACCAGCACTCTTCCCACCCCAGCACCTTGCATTTGTCCCGGCCTGGGATGAGATGAAGTGACTTACAGGCAGCATTCCTGGTGTTTTTCCTGGAGCAGGCAGCCAGGCTGCAGGGCCGTGCTGGCACAGCCCGCAGGCTTTTCAGCTGCTTCGAGAGTCGCCCCAGGGCTGTCACCTTCACCCCACTCATCGCTGCCACCAAACCTTCACTGCTCCTTCAGCACAGCCTCCCACAGCCTAACAACCCAGCAGCATCACCAATAAAAAAAAAAAAAAATCACATGGATTAGAGCTCCACTGAGGGGTGGCCAGGCTTCTTCGGGAATAATTTTGAGAGCCCCCTTTGTTAGTTAAGAGGTGGAGCCAACCCAAGAGTTAATTTTCAACTTGTCCCTGCACTGTCTTCTTCTTTGGCTCTCCATTCACTCCAGAGGCTGCCTGGTTGATGATTATTCCATGTGTGCTTCCCAAAGGTTTTTTTTTTCCTCCCCTCATCTGGCTCCAAGAACGGGAAGGGTTGCAGCAAACTCCTCTTTGGTATGCAAGGAGAGAGCTCTTATCACTCCTTGGTGCATGCACGCTGTGAATTTGAATAGTTGTATATTTGAATACTGATAGTCGAGCTAAAACGCCCCGAGCTGCTGTTCGAACTGAGGAATTCCCAAAATCCAGCAGCTATACAAGGCTGGGCCCAGGAAAGGAAACATTTTAGCATTTGGTACAGCTGCCCCCAGGTGAGGAGCTGCAGAACAAGGGATGCCAACAACAAATTTTGTCCCAGAAACGTCCCCTAGTTTTGTATAGGCTAAAAGAGGATTATATAGTCCTCGGCTCACACGTGAATCCAGCTCAAATTTTTGACTGGGAGAGGACAAAGGAAGATATTTCCCTGACTCATTTCTCAGAGATAAAGGCAAGAATGTTGCTCTCCTGCTGTTCCCAAGGGCATTTCCAGTAACTTTGTTACCTTATGTGAAAATCCTAGAAACCCCACACTTTCATTTTCTTTTAGATGTTTGCTCTTCTTTCAACTGAAAAAAAATCCACGTCAATTGCACAAACACATCCAAGTCAGAGCTGCAGTTTCTCAGAAAGAGAGGAAAGAAATTATTCCTATGAAAATTTCCCAATATTTCAGATTATTAGCAGCCAAATGGAAATAAAGATAGAATTATCCTTTCCAAGGACAGGGAGTCAAGGATAACCCAGCACAGCAGTGCCTGAACCAAAGGGTCCCCTGGCATTCCCAGCCCCTGAGAGTGACAAAGTATCAAACCAGGTCCAAGGTCCAGCCCAGGAAGGAGCAAAAGAAAGCAGCAGTAAAGCCAAACAACAACAACAACAACAACAACAAAAATCCTAAATCCTTCCCAGAGACAGAAACAAAGCCAAACCTGACAGCAAGAGCCCCAACATCAGAGCTGAGGATTAAATGAGCTCCTGGCTCATTGTGGTGGGTGGAGGCTGCAAGTGAGGATTATTGGGGTCATTAACGCTGAATTAAAAAATCCTTGAGGCTCGTGACAAAATGAAAGTATTTGAACAACTCATGTGATTCTTTTCCCCATTAAATACATAAGTGGGTATACTTTGAAAACTCCAGAATCCATCAACGACAAAGCAAGGAATGATAATAATAAGGATACTAACCTTAGTAAGGATATTAATATTCTGTTATGAAGCTCTACTCTTTTCCTAATTCATAAATTACCTGTGAAATATTTCTCAATGGTTTTGATTCATATTCTATTGCGATTTATTTATTTATTTTTAACAAACTGGTGTTTTGATTTAGAAACTTGTTGGTGATATTTTCATGAAGCTTCTGCCTGTCTGCCATCTCTTATCACACAGGGTGGCAGGGCAGGGCTCAGGCTCAGGGAATCCTCTTTGGTGGCCTAAGGTGGCCAACTGAGCTGTGCTATTTATTATTCCAAGCCCTCCTGTTCAGCAGAGTCTTCCTTACAGCTTGTCATTTTATTCCCTGAGCTGCCAGCACTGCCTTTATTGTCAGCTCTGAGTTCTGCCCAGAGAGCTGAAACACCACCTGTTCTTCATAATTGGGTAATTTGGGTGAGAAGTGTGACTGTACCCAATGAAATTTGGTTTATTTTTCTTAGCAGAAATGAAACAAGTGAAAATTTAGAATTTTCCTGCTGTCACTCATCTGACTTTTGCTGTCAGTCCCTCCAGACTGAGCAGAGAGAATCAATAATTTTTTTTTTTCACTATAACATTGCCAGTTATTACTTGTTTTTATATTACCGTTGTTCATATGAATTGTGTTACTTGCAGAGGGAAAATCACCTGACTGCAGTGTGTGCAAGGAATCTGATCCCCAGGCATCCTGCTTGGAAGGGTGTTCCTGCCCTAGTGTTGCCTCAGCCAAACCCAGTAATTCAGCAAAAAATACAGTGTTACAGCTTTACTGTAATTAGATACCATGGAAGTGATTTAATAATGACCATTTTCCTCACCTCATTATTGTCTAATTGAACAATCAGTTCAGTTGTGGGAAGCTGCCTGGGAATTTTGCTGCTGAGGAGTGGAAACCTCTCTGGAGTGACTAAAAATGTCACTTAGTGCAGGTTCCCCACAGGAGCCAAGCCATGCTTTGAGGCTTTGTCCCTCATTTCCCTGAGCATTGGCTCACAATTCCCATGGCAGGTTTTACTTCAGGGAAGTTTGGGTTTTTTTGATATCCACGTTTTACTGGGACATTTCATCCAGCTGAACTCAGCAACCTGGGAACCACCTCTGCTTTTTCATTCTCTCTCTTGCATCGAGGTCCCCAAACAGGACAGGACTTTCCAGATTTGTCCCCAGCAGCGCTGAGCAGGGAGAATTCCTGAGATGTGCTGGAAGGTTCTGTCTGATACAGCCCATGGACCTTCATCCCTGCCACCATCCACTACTGGAGAACACCTGGAATGGCAGAAAAACTCTGTCTCCAGAGCTTTGCAGTGGCCAGGTCGTAGGGAAAAGCAGGATTTCACCATGCCAGGGGTTGGAATTTGCTGCTCTGGATGAGGTTCCAGCTGACCTGGATTACCCTCCTGGCTCTGCCACGTGGAGCTGTGTGGAAACCTGCTCAGGGACATTCTGTCACCCTGGCCACAGCTGGACACCTCCACTCAGTTTATTTTACCTCTCACACCTGAAATGTTTGAGTTACAAATAATATTGGATGTATGAAAATGGATGCGTGCCCAGAATTCAAATTCTACTTAGAATCATAGAAGGATAAAATCCTCTAAAATCTGTTGGTGGAATGACTCCCCTTCAGGCTTTGATAATTCCCCAAAAAACCACTCAGATGATAATGGTACCTGACCAAATAAATGTGGTCTGGGACAAATGTGACCAGAGCTGGGCAAATCTCAGCTGTGTAGGGGAGTTAAAAGGGAAAAGAAGCTGTGAATGATTCTGGAAGATCCCAGCCAGGCAAAGTGTAAACACTTTGTTTGGTTTTTTTTTTGTGCCAGGGGCACATTTCTCAGAAGGGAAGGAACCTCCCATCATTTTTTTCTTTTCCATGATGTGTCCAGGGAGATGGAAGAGCCTGTAAATAAATAAGAGAGCATGGAGATCGTGCCTGACCCTTCTCACCTTGTTCCTCAGACTGGCAGCAGTGACCCTACAGGACCAGGGACTTTGACCAGAGAGGTGGCAAAATGTGTCACGATGTTTTTCTCTCTGCTGAGGGGATTCAGGGCCTTCCATCCCTGTTCATGTAAATTAGAAGTATTTTTATTGAATAAAATAGAAATTACTCAGCAGAAACCAGAATGAGATCAGAGTACTGATACAGAGGAAACTGAAGTACATCCAGGAGTAAAACCAAATGATGCTGGCCTGGTTTCTGTTACAAATCACAGAACAGTTCTGAGGGGATTGAAAATGGATGTGACATTTGAAAATTAAATGATGAGCTTCTCCTCATATGCTGCTACAGCACATTTACAGATAATATCAATATTCTCCTGGTTAAAGAGGTATTTTATGTAACTTTTCCTTAAGCATCACTGACAATACAGGACAGGCTGTGTTTGTAAGGCTGGGCTTGTTTCCCTCTCCAGTTACAAGAGATATTATAGAGAAAATGAATAAACTCAAACAGAAAGAAATGAATAAGCAGGGGAGCTTCAAGTACTCTTTTTACTTGGGTGTAATTGAGGATTTTATCCTTAGGAAACAAAATTATTCTTCCAGCAAATACTCTGGAGTGACTTCTGTGCCCTGCTCACTTCTTCCCCATCCCTTTTTCCCTGTGTCCCCCTCATGCTCAGCACTGAGGATAATTATGGATATTTGTCACTTGTTTAAACAAAAGCTTTGTTTGACAACCTTTATTTTCCTGCTGCAGCTGCAAAATTGTGTGCACAGTGTGTTAATTTTTTACTTTTGATGCTACGGGAAGGGTTTTTTTTCCCTAATGAAAAAAAAAAGGGAAACCAATGAATGAGATCCCAATCTCTCCTGATCCACAGCAAACACGTGAAAGCAGCAACTTCCGTAGAGAACAATGGTAAATGAATGCTGAGACCAGGGTGCAATAAGCTGGATACTTCCTGGAAGCAAATTATTCCTCATAACATGGCAAAGCACAGACAGAAAATGCAAGAGACTGCAAAAAAAAAATAAATAAAAAGAGCATGAAAATGTGAGGAAAGAAAACAACAAAGAAATCTCTTGTTTTATTTGTGACAACAGACTAAGGGCAAGAGGGGGTATTTTCTCCTGTAAAATTAAAAATTATATATTAGCAGCCTGAAGTTCTCAGTTGTTTTTATATGAGGACAGGAAATTAAGAGTGGATTTGATGTAGGCACTTGAGCAAATTATCGTGGTTTAAATCAGAATAAACCTTCCAGTGTATCAAGTTCTTCTTGGCATTTGTTCATAGGCAGACTTGTCCCAGGGTAAAGCGAAGCCCTCATTCACTGAATGGGGATTACACTGAATTTCATTCAATTATTGCAGAAATAGTCACGGGAGCTCAGTTTTGGCAGCTCCTGAAGCTCAGGAGATTGTGAAGCACAGGAAGCAATTACCCTTTGGTCAGTCACTCATTGGTACTGGGAATCAAAGACCAAGAGGCAAATCTGGGCCTGCAGATTTAAAAGAAAAATCCTTTTCCTCCTGCTCTTTCCCAGTGTTTTCAGTCACACTTTGTGCTGCATGAAACGTTTGTCATTTCTGGCTGTGCAGTCTCAAGAAAACACAGGATAAACCACCATAAAGGAGCCTTTCCATGATTTATTGCTGTCAGCCATAATTTTAAAAAGAAATGCCTCCTGGTTTGGAAAAAAATCCCAACTCATTGCTATGGTAAAGAGGGAAAAACTCTTACAAGGGGTGAGGTAATTGTGGATTCTCAGCTGCTGGATCAGACTGGCAGGAGGAGGTGCTGGAGCGTCCCTTGGCAATAAATTGTTTTATTTGTTTATTCTGCTGTTATCTCTGATCAGAGTCGCAGACATCAGTTGGATCCTGCCAGTATTTCCTGCAGTTAATTTGAGATAAATTAACTTTGGGTAAATATTATAACTGGTTTATCACAAAGACAATTTCTGTGTTTGTGTTGGGAAACAATTCATGGCTCTCCAGAGGAGAAACACCTCACACCTCCAGCAAACAGGAGTTCATTATCCTTGTGATGACAATATTAAGAAAATATGAGAAAACAGGGCAGCTTTTACATCGGGCTGGTTTAGGATGGCAAAAGTTTTTTCTCTCCACAGCAGGTGGAACGTGGGTATTTGTATCCCTGTTTTTCCAGCTGGGACCTGCAATTGCTTGAGTCCAGAAGAAATTCTTTAGCAAAACCATTGCAGGGCAAATCGGTGCAGCAAAGCGTGAAATAATCCAGTGTGAAAAGTCAGATTCTAAGTGGTTTAACCTTTGAACTGCCTAATCTGCTTGTGAAGGGGGAGAACACTGTAAATAAACCAACAGGCTCAGCTGAGCACTTCCAAACCTGCATGAGGGAACAATTTCCTGACCTGCAGGTGTCTGAGGTTCACTTACAGCTGTACCAGAGTTCAGCTGTGTGACATGACACTGCAGAACCCCATTGAACATCCCGTTTGGGAATTTTTATTTATCTAAGTTAAGGAATATTTGAATGCAGGAGTCTGAAAGTCCCTGCTGGCTACGGTGAAGCGGAAAAGTGAAGCTTGGTTGGTCTTTATTGGGCAACACCGTGCTATATAAAGACACAAAATCGTCTAATCTTTGTCCTCGTTCAGAGCCATATGCATACACTTCCTCTGTGCTTCTTTTTTGGGAGCTTTCTGCGTATTTTTATCTCCCCCAGAAGGTTCACGGCGCGTTCCCCACCCTCGCCCAGCCCTGTTCTCACAGCACAAGCGACAGAAGAGTGAGGCTGATGAGATAATTTAGCAAATTCCCACTTGCTGCCTGCTGCTCAGCTGTGCTCTGGGCACGGTGACATTTCTCTCATTTGTGTGACAGTGACATCCAGCTCATCCCAGCTCCGTGCCCAGGAGCTGTCACAGGAGGAGGGATGTGATGGAAGGAGCAGAGAAAGGAGCAGGGGATGGGCACGGTGTGAGTGACTCTGGAGGTGCAGATCCGTCTTTAATCTGCTGGCCGAGTGCTCCAGAGTGTCCAGGGAGGGGAATGGAGCTGGGAAGGGGCTGGAGAATCCTGAGGGAGCTGGGAAAGGGGCTCAGCCTGCAGAAAAAGAGGCTCAGGGGGAATTTCTGGCTCTGCACAACTCCCTGACAGGAGGGGACAGCCCCAGGTCGGGCTCTGCTCCCAGGGAACAGGGACAGGAGCAGAGGGAACGGCCTCAGGCTGGGCCAGGGGAGACTCAGGGTGGACATCAGCAGGAATTTCCTCATGGAAAGGGTGCTCAGGAATTGGAAGTGCCCATCCTTGGAGGTGACACTGAGTGCTCTGGGCTGGGGACAAGGTGGGGATTGGGCACAGGCGAGACTCGAGATGATCCCGGAGCTCTTTTCAACGAGCCCGTCATCCAGTGATTCCGTGATTCCCTGACTACACTTCCCGGCACTCCCCGCGCCACCCGCGCGTACTACAGGTCCCGGCGTGCTCCTGCGGGGGCGCGCGCGCTGCCCTCTGGGACTCGTAGTCCGGTCCCCGCTGCGGCGCCTCGGCGGGGAAGGGCGGGGGCATCGCGCGCGCGGGCGCGGCGCGTGCGCGGCGCGGGGCCCCGGGCCGGATCTCTCGCGAGGAAGGACGCCATTATCGCAGCCGCCGCACAAAACACCACGAGAACTCGGCGCCCGCCTCACACGGTAACGCGGCGCCCCGCGGGCGGGAGCCTCCGCTAGCGCGGCCACCCCTCGGCCGCCCTCAGGGCCCCGCACGGGGGACACCGAGCACTCACCGCGCTCCCGCCGCGCTCCCCGGGCCGAGAGCCGGCGGGGAGGGAGCGGCCGAGGCGGGGGGGCCGCGCGCCCCCCTCCGCCTCCTCTCGTCGCTCTCATGGGGGTCACCCATGATTCGATATCGGGGAGGAACTCCTCCCTGAGAGGGTGCTGAGGCCTTGGCACAGGTGCCCCGAGAAAGCTGCGGCTGTTCCCATCCCCGGCAGTGCCCAAGGCCAGCTTGGAGCAGCCTGGGCTAGCGCAAGGTGTCCCTGGCCGCGGCAGGGATGAGCTTTAAGATCCTTTTTCACGCAAAGGTTTGGCCGCTCCCCGCTCCGCTCCGGGGGTCACCCCCTTACCGGGTTCCGCAGAGCTGGGCTCGGTGTCCCCTGTCCCCCCCGGGCTGTGTGCGGGGCTGGGCTGGCAGCGCTGCTCCATCCCCTGCCTGCTGCGGCCGGGCAACATCATCCCCGAGTGTGCTCATGTAGTGCCTGCCTGGCCTTTTCCATCCTCTTCGTGCCGGCCAGCTCTTTGACATGGAGTGCTTTAGTGGGACATTGAGGAGGAATTCTTCCCTGTGCGGGTGCTGGGAATCTGGCATGGGTTTCCCTGGAGCTGCCCCTGGATCCCTGGAAGTGCCCAAGGCCAGGTTTGGACAGGGCTTGGAGCCACCCGTGATAGTGGAAGGTGTCCCTGCCCATGCAGGAGGTGGAACGAGATGAGTTTTAAAGTCCCTTCCCATCCAAATATTCCAGGATTCTCTCCACACACTCGGTATCCCCATGCCCTTATTTGCAATTCAAGTGTTGCCTCCTTTTCTCTCCCTCCCTTTTTTTTTTTTTTTTTTTGTTTTATTTTTGAATCCATGCACAGTGGCAAGTTGTGTATTTCACCAAATATAGTCATTTTATCCTGCTATAGCACGGATAGTTCATGGATCAGTTTATTTTTGGAGCTCTCCAGGGAAGACCTTTTGAAATAAACAAGGGTTATTAGCAACTGCGAGATTGCTTTGGTGGAAGCAGCTTTAAAATGGTATTTTTGGAGTGTTTTTGGTATTTTTCTTGCCTTCTGTATGAGCCGTGGTGCCCTGTCAGTACCAAGATTTCAAGAGGCAAACCTGCCATTTGTATAACTTGAAATATTTCAATCCAGATTTTAAAATACAAACAAAAAAGTGTTTGAATTTCATAGCAGTGACTCCTGAAACTGAGGGTTTTCTCTGTTGGGAAGTGTTTGTATATGTTATTCTATATATTTTAAATAGTTGTTTATAGAAATACACCAGAATAACAAGACTGATGCTGAAACCTCTAAACACCTTTTCCCATCATTAAATTGAAGGAGTTCCATTCCCAGTAATAGATGTTAGGAAGAAAGAGGAATTAATTTATTGAGATAATAAAAAGATGGAGGTCGGATTTGGGAAACATTCCATCTTCTCCAGAGGACAAAAACATTGTATAATTTCGTTTTTCCAGTTTATCATCTCTTCTGTCTGAATCATCCAGCCGTGTGAAAGTTGTGCGTTTCCAGAGCAGGTGTTAATTAAGGTGCTTTTAAAGTACTAATTGATTAATAACATCCAGAGTAATTGAATAAAACCATTAAGGGCGTGGTGCTAATGAGCAACGCTCACAGCTGTGCACCTGCTCCAATAAATACATTTGGAAAAGGCTCCTTTCCTGCCTGTGCTGCTTTTAACATCCTTTTTCTGGAATTTTGGGTGATGAAGTGAGGAAAAAAACGAACTTTTAGTCCCAATGAGCTGCTGATTGTGGATTTACCTTGGCTTGGGGAAGGAGTTGTGGTGTCCCATGGGATTCCCAGCCAGGGAATTCCAGGGAGAGGCTCCTGCTTGTAAGGACTCGAGTTTGCCTCTGCTTTTCCTCTTGAGCTTTCCCCATAACTTGTTAAGCTCTGTAGGAGCAACATATGAGTTTATTTTTGTCAGCATTCCAGGGTTTTCCTTTATTTTTTTGTCAGCATTCCAGGGTTTTCCTTTATTTTTTGTCAGCATCCCAGGGTTTTCCTTTATTTTTTTGTCAGCATCCCAGGGTTTTCCTTTATTTTTTGTCAGAATCCCAGGGTTTTCTTTTATTTTTTTTTTATCAGAATCCTAGGGTTTTCGTGTCTTTCCTTGAAGGAACCCTGGAACTGGAATTGCTGGGATTGAGCCACTTGTAGGAGGATTCAGAGCAAAGCCAGTGGTTGGAATTAGAACCTCAAAATCTCTTTGTATGCAAAACTTTGCCAATAAAATTTTGGTCTCAGGTTCATTTCCTTTAGTTTGAAACTTGATATTTAGTTATTGATAACTGAAATAATCTTATTTTCTGTTCAATCCATATTCATTGAAAGGTAATCATCATCTTTCTTTTTTTTTTCCTTCCCCCAAGTAAAATGAATAAAATGTCTTCACAATCACATAAACCACTCGTTTCCTTGCAGGTTTAGGTATTTAAAGGTGCTGGAGAATAGTGAATTTTGCAACCAGTTAGACAGAAAAATATCCAAAAGTTTTAACTTCATCACACTCTTGGTATGTGGGACTTGAAATAAAATAATTTGTGGTGTTGTCTGCTGAACAGAATCATTTTATGTTGCTTCCTGTTTGTAACCCCTGACTTAGAGCACTTAAGGGAAAAATATATTCATATATTCAGTTCAAACCTCTGAAAATGTGAATTTTATCATGGAGAAGAATGGAGGGAATTGATGGCAGCTGGAGAGTTCCCCTTTCCATCCCTGCTCCTCTGGTATAAACAGAACAACCTGATCCTCTCTGCCAGCCTCTGAATTCAAGGTTTGGGGAATTTTAAAGCCGAGTTTAGTTGGGATTTTTATTTGAACTCCAGAGAGGGGAGCTGCCAAGCCAGGATCAGGTGGTGGAAATGAAAATTCAGAATTTAGAGGCAGGATGGGAGGTCGGGCTCTGCTCCCAGGGAACAGGGACAGGAGCAGAGGGAACGGCCTCAGGCTGGACATCAGCAGGAATTTCCCCATGGAAAGGGTGCTCAGGAATTGGAAGTGCCCAGGGAGGTTTGGACACCAGCCCTGGAGGTGTCCCAGCAGTTCCTGGAGGTGACACTCAGTGCCCTGGGCTGGGGACAAGGTGGGGATCAGAGATCCCAGAGCTCTTTTCCACCCTCAATAATCCTATGAAAATAATTCAAATTTTGGAGAGCTGCTCAGTTCATGTCTCCCTACTAAAATGATGCTCTTCAGTTTATTTTCGTATTTTTGGCAAGAATTTGAAGATCCTGATCTCTCTCTGTTATAAAGCAATGCTAAGGTCTGGTTTGGCAGCTGGAATTTTTTCTTTTCCTTGATGCCTACAGCAGGAAAACCCATTAGAAGACTTTGGAGTGAGCAGGTTGTATTTGATGTTGGCTTTGCTGCTTTTTTTGTAGTAGCAGCAGCCTGTGCCAGCGCTGGGGGCTGTCCTTGTCTCCTCTGGAATTGCTGGATCAGAAACTTTTCCAATGTCTTGAGGACTAGCAGTGCACATAGTAGGGAAAAATGATAAATTACTATTATTATTCTCTTTTGATGCTAAAGGTAAGCTGCCAGGCCAGGAGGGAATGGTCCTAAGCTGCAGGAGGGCAGGGATAAGTGGGACACTGGGGATGAATTCCCCCCTGTGCGAGTGGGGAGCCCTGGCACAGATTCCCAGAGAAGCTGTGGCTGCTCCATCCCTGGAAATGTCCAAGGCCAGGCTGGACAAGGCTTGGAGCCAGCCGGGATGGTGGAAGGTGGATGAAAATAATCCTGGAAGTTTGTTCTTTGAATTTCCTGGAATGATGGGATACCCTGAGCTGGAAGGGACCCACGGGGATCATCCAGCCCAGGACATTCCCAAAATCCCAAACTCCTGGGCACTCCTGGCAGTGCTGTCCAAACTCCTGGAGCTCTGTGCCCATTCCCTGGGGAGCCTGGGCAGTGCCCAGCACCCTCTGGGGGGGGGAAGAACCTTTCCCAATTTCCACCCTGAACCTCCCTTGAAAGTCCTTGCAGGATTTTTGGAGCCGTTCCCAATAGGAATTCTCCATCTAGCGGCTGAAAACAAGAAAACATCGCGACACAATTTTGCCGGCTGGGCAAGTCCGCTCACACATTTGCTGCTTTTCAGCAAACTCTACAAATTGTGCCTGGTGTGAATGATCCCTGTCAGGAATAATCCCACCAGCACACAGAATTCCAACCTCTGCCTTAAGGCCTGGAATCTGCAAGCACTTAGATCTTTCCCCGGGGGTGGGCTGCTGGAGTTCAATGGGATTAAATGGCTGTAAATTGAATTCAGGCCTCTCTCTCTGTGTGTGTGTGTGTGTGCAAACACCTGAAAGCAGAGCTGCACACGTGGCAACATTTCCTGGGCAGCTCCCTGGGGGATCATTGCACGCAGGCTGTGCCAGCAGGGTTTGTACAGCATGCACAGGGAATTGGGGGCTGGAATTGCTGCTTTGTGTGACCACCCACTGCCACTGCTGGTGTTCAGCTCCTGGGAGCACACTGGGAAGCAGGGAAAGCATTCCTGAATTATTTGTTGGGTGTTGTGTTAGGATTGGTGCCAGGTTTGGAAGAGTTGAGGAAAAAGACATCCAAGCAAAACAGTTCCTTGTACCAGGTGGAATGAAAAAAAAAAAAAAAACCCAATATTTTTGCAAGCAAAACAATAAACCAACAATAATAATGGGAGCTTTTGTGGTAATACTTGAGAATTTCTGCCTCCCTGGGAGGTTTTCTACTCCGGAAAGTTTCCAGCTCCTTTATTCTTGGAGCAACTGTTCCCTTTTTTTGGTTGTTATCTGAATTTTATCACTTGCACTGGAGTTCATCACCATAATATCTCTGTGAGTGATATTTATTGGGTATATCCATCTCCAGAATGTTGTGGCTGGTGTCCTGGTTTTCCCAGATAGGGAATA